AATTAAAACAAGATACTAATACACACCTATTAGAATGGTCAAAATCAAGAACTTACTAACAAACGCTGGCAGGAAAGCAAAATGGTACATCCATTTTTGGAAGACAGTTTTGCAGTTTCTCACAAAACCAAACATACTCTTACCATGCAATCCAACAATTGCACTTCTTGGTTTTTACCCAAAGGAGTTGAGAACTGATACTTGCATAAAAACTTGCAATAGCTTTATTCATGCTGCCCAAACTTGAAAGCAACCAAGATGTCCTTCAGTAAGGAAATAGAAAAATAAACTGTGGCACATCCAGACAATGGAATATTATTCAATGATGAAACAAAATGAGCTATCAAGCCATGAAAAGATGGGGAGGAACTTAAAATGCATATTACTAAGTGAAAGAAGCTTATGTGAAAAGGCTACATACTGTATGATTCCAAATATATGACATTCTGAGAAACTATGGAAACTAAGCAATCTGTGGTTGCCAGGGATTGAGGGTAAAGGAGGAAAGATGAATAGGCAGAGCACAGGATTTTTAGGGAAGTAAAAACACCGTGTGTGATACCATAATGATGGATATATGTCATTATACATTTGTATAAACCCACAGAATGTACAACACTGAATAAACTAATGAACTATGGGTGATTATAATGTGTCAAGGTAGGTAACAAGTGTACCACTCAGGTGATGGATTTTGGATAATGGGCGACTATGCATGTGTGAGGGGAATTCTCTGTAACCTCAATTTTGCTGAACCTAAAACTGCTCTAAAAATAAATAAATAAATCACATGCTTGCTTTTTTGTTAGTCTAGCAGACTGCGTAAACCCAAGCCTGCCCTTCTCAGGAGCGATCAAAGAGGGAAATTTCACACTGCAAATCCCCTGGCTGACAATGGGGCAAAGTAAAATGCTGAATTATGATAGCAGCCTTCAAGCCACACACACATGTCCAACAGTAAAAGGTAAAAATCTAACTGGCTAAGGAGGTTTAAACATAACTTTTTATTAATAAGAGGTTTATACTCACGTAGGGTGATCCTTGGGTTCCCAAGCCAAATGATAAAAAGTAAGGGGAAAAAAGATTTGAGTAGGGACAGCAGAGACTGCACACTAGAAAGGCAACATACTTCACAGAGTTTGTTATCCAAGTCTAAATGAATAAACAATGACATCAATCTCGGGGAGGTGTGGGCAGAAAATCAGTATTCTGAATAGCTACCTGCCCTAGCCAGTTTGGCTCAACCTGCGGACTGAAGGATCACAGGTTCCAGTTGGGTCTAGGGCATGTACCTCAGTTGCAGGCTCCTCCCCAGCCCAGGCTCTGGTCGGGTTACATGCAGGAGGCAACCAATCAATGTGTTTCTCTCATATTGACATTTCTTGCTCTCTTTCCCTCTCCCTTATACTCTCTCTAAAAATCAATAGAAATATATCCTTGGGTGAGGATTTCAAAAAAAAATAGCTACCTTAGAAAAAAAGAACAAAAAAGAATAGCTACCTTATTGCACAATTATCATATATGCAATACATTATTTGAAATGTTCAGATTTCAACAACAATAAATTGAGACAAGCAAAAAATTGGGAAATGTATAGCAAAAACAAGAAAACAAGCAAGCAATAGAAATTTGGTCCACAAAAATTGCAAAGCAATCATAATAAATATGTTCAAAGAATTAAAGAAAACCATGTCTAACTGAAAGCATGACACTATCTTTTATTTAATAGAGAATAGGAATAAAAAGATAGAAATGATTTAAAAAACAAAATGGAAGTTCTATAGTTTGAAAATACATTAACAAAAATTTAAAATTCACTAGAGGCTCAAAAGATTTCAACTGGCAAAAGAATTAGTTAACATGAAGATATATTTATAGAGATTATGATCTGAAGAACAGAGAGAAAAAAGAATGAAGAAAAATGAGTGGAGCCTGAGAAAAATGTGGGATATCAGATACAATGGAGGCCAGAAGGCAGTGGGATAACATAGTGTGAGGAAAATAAAAAACTATCATACAAGAATCTTGTATCTAGCAAGACTATATTTCAAAGTTTAAGATGAAATAAAAGCACTGTCAGATGAACAAAAGATGAGAGAATTTTTTGCTGGCCAACCTACCTTACAAGAAATACCAAAGGAAATTCTTTAAGAATTACCAGAGGATAAGCTGAATTTACAAGAATAAAAAACCAAAGAGTGCTGAAAGGTAATTAGTAGGTATTTATAAAAGACAATATAATTGCATATTTACCTATTATTTAGTCTTTTAACTGATTTAAAAAGCATTTACATAAAATAATGTGTGTCACTGTATTGTTGTGCCAATAACACAGAAATGTAATATATTTGACAAGAAACACAAAAAGAAGGGGCAGGAGCAAAGATATATATATTAAAGGGAATCCAAGGGAATAATGCCAGATGATATTTCATATTCATAGGAAGAAAATGAAGAGAACCAATAATGGTAAATAAGAAGTTTAATACTGCTATTTATTTATTTTTTAATTTTTATTTTAATAAATTTTATTGATTTTTTACAGAGAGGAAGGGAGAGGGATAGAGAGTTAGAAACATCGATGAGAGAGAAACATCAATCAGCTGCCTCCTGCATACCTACTACTGGGGATGTGCCCACAACCAAAGTACATGCCCTTGACCGGAATTGAACCTGGGACCTTTCAGTCTGTAGGCCGACGCTCTATCCACTGAGCCAAACTGGTTAGGGCAATACTGCTATTTAAATGTCATATGATTATATCAAGCAATAATTATAACAATGTATTGTTGGGTTTGTAATATTTAGATGCAGTATGTAGAACAATAGCACAAAAAGAGGGGAAGTAGAGCTATGTAGGAGCAAAGTTTTTATATTCCCTTTGAATAAATATGAAGTAAAATTTGAAAAGTGAATGTATTACTGGAAAAAATAACTAAAACAGTATAATTAGAGATTTTTGAAGGAATTAAATGTTACACTAGAAAACAATGTAAAAGAAGGCAATAAAGGAGCAAAAAACATAAAGAAAACAAAGTATAATGGATTGGATAAATTAATCAAACAAACAAAAACATGATCCAACTATATGCTGTCCGCAAGAAACACACTTTAGATTTAAAGACAAAAAGGTAGAAAGTGAAAGTATGAAAAGAAAAAAGGTATACCATGCAAACATTAACTAAAATAGAGCTGGAGTAATTACACTAGTATCAGACAAAAGAGACTTTAAGACAAAAATTACTAGAGACAGAGAAGGACATCCTATATAATAAAAGGGCAATAATATCCAAATCGACTGAACGACTGGTCGCTATGATGCACACTGACCACCAGGGGGCAGATGCTCAACGCAGGAGCTGCCCCCTGGTGGTCAGTGCATTCCCACAGGGGGAGTGCTGCTCAGCCACAAGCTGGGCTGATGGCTGGTGAGCGCAGCGGTGGTTGCGGGGACCTCTCCCGCCTTTGCGGGAGCGCTAAGGATGTCCAACTGCGGGAGCAGGCCTAAGCGGGCAGTCGGACATCCCCCGAGGGCTCCCAGACTGCTAAAGGGCGCAGGCTGGGCTGAGGGACCACCCCCCCCCCCCCCGAGTGCACAAATGTCGTGCCCTGGGCCTCTGGTTTTATAATAAGTAACAGTCAATCCATCAGGAAGACGTAACAATTATAAACATGTATACACCTAACAACAGAGCCCCAAAATACATGAAGCAAAAACTGACAAATGAAAGGAGAAACAATAATTCAATTATAACAGCTATAGACTTCAATACTCCACTTTTAATAATGGATAGAACAACTAGACAAAAGATCAATGAGGAGATAGAAGACTTGAGCAACACTATAAAATCAATAAGCCAACTGGACCTGACCTAAGAAACATCTATATATAGAACAAAACTCCACTCAGCAACAGCAAGAGAATATAGATTCTCTTCAAGTATACATCAAACATGCTCCAGAACAGACTATATATTGGCTCATAAACAAGCCTTGATAATTAAAGGATTAAAATCTCACAAATGTGTGGACATTAAATAAAATACTCCTGAATAGCCAAGAGATTAAAGAAGAAATCACAGGGCAATGAGAAAATACTTTGAGATAAATGAAAACAAAAATGCAAAATGCCAAAATTTACAAGCTGCAGCTAAAGTAGTGCTCCTAGGGAAATTTATACCTGTAAATGCCTGTATTAAAAAAGTGTTCAAACCAACCCACCCCACCAATACCCAATACCACGCATTCTCTATCGTATTATTCTATTTCAGTGCCTGAAGCTCTCATTGTATGTTTATGTTATGTCTCTCCTCATTAGAACATAAACTTTCTGAAGGCAGAAACTTTGTATTGTACACTGCCTGGCCATATTAGAGCAACAGCTATAGAACAGTACCTGACTATATTAGGGGCTTAATAAATATTTTCTGACTAACATCTTACTTAGAACTATCACTTACATTTAGATAAGCTTTAGCTGTCAATCCAAATTTCTGTTTATTTAGCATATTATTACTGACTTATCTTCCTATCAATTTATAGAATTTGGGATCCATTACAGAATCACTCTTTTAAATTTTCTAGTTTTAAGTAAAACTTATCCCACCAACATTTTTTGAAAATAGCCTATTGTTTCTTTTAAATTTTATTATAAAAAATACAAAAAAATCAATCTTCTTAAAACAAGTCAAATAAAAAATAAAACTAAAATAAATAATTAATATAATATACAATGGCTAAGCCAATGTTCATATATTTTTGAACTGCAGAGTAAGAAATCATTCCCACTTGCTTAATATACCTTACAAATTCTAGATACTGAAAGGTGTGAAACAACAACTATACAAAAGCTTGAAAGAATACTATAGTTCCTTAAAACAATCAGAGCCTAAGTTATCAATAGTAATTATATCTATATAATAAAGTTTATTCACACAATAAACATTTAAAATTAAATGATATCATGATAAAAGCCACTTCCCCCACAATGTGGAACTTACACAGTCTTTTTGTCCTGTCGAAGAAGTTTAGAAGAAAATTCACTTAGTACTTCCAGGAAAGCCAGATTAGGAGGTGGATACTCTTGTCCTTTCTGATTTTGGTATTTAAAGGCAAATTCTATGCCATCCCTAAAATAAAAGAAAATATCTAGTTTTTCCAGATAGCTAGTGTAGTTCTCTCAATGGGATAGTTTTAAAAACACTTGGGAAGGCTGCAAAATCATCACTAAAGATAGTAAAATCTCATAAATTCAATGATAAAATGTTACCCATGTGAGATATTTGCATAATATTAAACTTTATTTTTTTTTTTACAGTAAAAAAACTATAAATTGTGAAAATTAAAAGCGCCCTAGCCAGTTTGGCTCAGTGGATAGAGCTTTGGTCTGTGGACTGAAGGGTCTCAGGTTCAATTCAGGTCAAGGGCACATGCCCAGTTGTGGGGTCAATCCCCAGTAGGGGGCATTCAGGAGGCAGCCGATCAATGATTCTCTCTCATCATTGATGTTTCTATCTTTTTCTCCCTCTCTGAAATCAATAAAAATATATATTAAAAAAATTTAAAAGCCACAAAGTTAATTCCTATGTGTATTTTTAGGGGTAACAGAATACCATGGAAAGATAGTCAGAAAATTTGTTTATTAGAGTTGGTTGTAGTACCAGGCAGCTCTGAGTTTTTGCAAAGTAAAGTTTTGTCATTCAGTTTTCAGTTATGAATTGAGGCTGACCAAATCAATACTACACAGTGTTTTTAAACCCATGTTCCCACAACATTTTCTCACTGATAGACCAGGTAAATATATTTTGTTAAACTTTACTTTCTATACTTCATAAGATGAAAAATGGGTAGTTTTAGTTTTTTTCCCAAATTAAAAATGGCCTCCTAGTTGAGAATGATGACACCAGACAATCTCTAAAGTTTTTATAACTTAAAAAACCTGTTCATTTGTCACTTTAAAAATGGGTCAAGTAACAGCTATCTTAGTTAAATTCCAGTAAACCAGAATCTGTATAATAGAATGTTACAGATTATTTAGGTCACTCACTTGTGAAGCGTGGCAACTGCTTCTCGTGTCTTGATTTGGTCCAGTCCAAATGTAAGGGCAAAGCGACGTGCCAATTCTTTAATGCCACTGACATGGGCAGATGTCCTATCTAGATTGGGACCTTGCTCTTGAACAAGTTCATTAAACAACTGGTAGAAAGAAAAAAGGAAGAAACCTACAGTTAAAAAGTATTTATTTATTGTATTTATTGTTAGAATAGGTAATATAATTTAAAAATATTTCAGAGGCATATGGTAAAATATTTAAGTATAGTCATACTGTTCTCCTTTCCTAAATCATCTACTACTAACTAGTTTCTTAAGATCATTTTCATGTTAGTTATGTGATTAAATGAAACAGGAATTTATTTCTTTTGAACAAAAAAGTGGGTTGGGAAAATGAAATGTTTATATACACTACATATTCATAAACATCTATATGTTCTTTTTGTTGTCATTTTCACAGGAATGACAATGTATAAAATAAAGGTTGAGAACTTTGTTTTTTCACTTATATATCTTAGACAAGAACACTGTGCAAAAGACCACTTGTATATTGGGGCTATTCCCTCCCCCCGCCAATAACAAAATATACAGAAGAGTTCTTAAGCAGGGTGGAGGGCTTTTATAAATTACATATACATTACATATATGTGTCAAAATAACAACAAAAACAAAACCTCAGAGCACTAACGATCACACTCCCTTTCATCTCCTCAGCAGTTTTGCTCCTGTGCTTATTTGCTTTTCCTTCCTGCATCATTAACTATTCCCTCTACTAGATGCATGCCCTATCTTCACTTTAAAGTTTACATTTAAAATAATACAGCCCTGGCTGGTGTGGCTCTGCTGGTTGGAGTGAGGATAAAAGTAAATAAATAAAATAAATACAAAGAGTATATTTCATTGTATAAAATTCAAAGAACATCGAAGTAAAAATTTCACTCCCTCCCTTTCTCCCACTAAATATCATTCTTCTCTCCAAAGGTAATCCGTGTTCAAGTTCAGAAGTTTTCTAGGCCAGTTTAGAAATATTGATATATTTCATATACAAAGTTTTTATTTTTACGTAAATGGCTCCATACTACATATTTTGTCCTAAAACTTGCTATTTTTTCATTTAATGTTTTGTCTTAAAAATCTTTTAGCTACTTGAGATAATCAGTTTATTTAACCATTCCTCTATTGATGGACACTGAGACTATTTCCAATTTTTCCATATTACAGAAACTGCTGCAATGAAATGTCTTTTACATATATATCTTGTGCACACCTGCATGTAACTATGTAGATACCTAATAACAAAACATTGATTTTAAAAAGAATATACATCTTGAATTTTGAAATATACTATAAAATTATATTACAAGAAGACAAGAGCAATTTCTTTCATAAGGGATCTTTTTTCCTCATCTTTTTCAATTATAGGTATTATTAATCATTTCAATTCATGCCAATCTGATCAGGTGTGATAAATATCTCATTTTACTTTGTATTTCACAAATGATTAATGAAGTAATGCCTCTTTTTATATGTTTACTGGTTTTAAGATTTCCTCTTCTGAAAAGTGGCTTTTCATATCCTTTGCTCCCTATCCTAGGGGGTGTATTTATCTTTCTTACTGATTGTAACGTATGATTAAAAATACTTGCGCCCAATCTTATTTGTTTATTAACTTTGTTCATAGTGCTGGCTGATGATTAATCTATTTAAAATTATACATATCATCAATTTTTACTTTGTGGCTTCTTTCTTCAGTAAGGACTTCTCCACTCAAGGATATAAAAATATCCTCTTTCATTTTCTTATAAACTTTTAATTTTTAACATTTATATAATAATCCAACTAGAAGTTATTTTGGGTACATATTAGGTAGGGCTATAAAAAACTATTTCCCCAAAGATATATTCAATTGCCCCATTATCATTTAATGAAAAGGCCCAATCCTTTCCCCACTGATTTGAAATGAGACCTTCATATCATAGACTAAATCTATACACACATATCTATGCCTCTCCCCCCAATCTCTATACTAATTTACTAGGCAATTATTAGGAATCTTACTTATACAATAATATATGTGACATATTTCTTTTTAATGATTACTTTTTAAATATCCAATTTGGCATTTCATCTGGTTTAACAGTAGATCACCTAATGATTTCATCTATTTGAAATATTGGATTATCTTCCAAAAGAAAAGACATGTAACACATGTCTTTGTACCAGAAAATATCCATAGTAATATACTGATATAATGACTCAATTTAAATGAGGTAAGATACCTAGCACATACGAAATGCAAGGAAGTGCTCAATATATTAATTCCACTTCTTATCTCTTTCCTTTCAAATTTCTTACCTGCTGTAAACTGAGAATGAGGGTCTTGGCACATTGAATTTTATCAATCTGCCTGGTTTTACTCAGTGTTTCCTTAATAATATCACCATAGTCATTGTAATACTGTGAAGAAAAGAAAGAAATCATTGTTTTAAAATCAGTGAAATTTCACAAGATAGAGAATGGGTTGGTGAAAAAAAATAGGTGAGTATACAGGTATTTAATTTCTTAATCATAAACACAATGAGAATTTAAAGATTTTGTCTCAAGTTAAAGGAATACACATTTGATATTAAGATTGTGAAATCCTACTACTAATAAAACTAAAAAGTTGATAATTCCAAGAGAAGTCATATAGGGTAAACAAAATTCCTCATTCTTTTAACATAGACTCAAAAGACACTATTAAAAGGTGACAAATTGAGGAATAGACTTTGGTAGAAACTTCCTTAAGAACTAAAACGAAAACAGTTAAAATTGCTTACCTCGGGGAAGTGGGCCTAAATAAGGGGTAAAGGTAGAGTAGGTAACAAACTTAACTTTTCATTTAATACTCTGTGTACTAGCTTATTTATCTCCCTAACATGTCTATATTTTATTATTATAATATAAACAGTAAAAACACTGACTGAGTAAAAACATTTGATTTTCAACAGTGATTGAGAAAAATTTAATTTCTTTATAATTCAGTTTTTTTGATACAGAATGTAAAAAAATTTCCCTTCTAGTAAAAAATTAGGAAAAGTTTTATTTGAAACCATTAAATCTGAATTTTATTTCCAAGCTAAAACTTAAACCCTAAACCTATGTGAAGAAGTGAGTATATTAGCCTACCAAAAGAATTTTTTATAATCTTCAAAAAGGAGGGTATGCTTCCATGATATGAGGTGCAAAGAAGGGAAAATAATTCATAAGAATCATCCTCTAAGTGCAATTAAAAACGATCTCAATGTAGGAGAAAAAAAGAGAAAGATATACTGAAATACTAAAGTGGTTCAACGAACAGATTGCTAATAAATTCAGATTTTTAATGACTACAGAGATGAGTGGGGCAAAACGCCACATAACCAGGGATATAGAACAAAGGGTTATTAACAAATAGCTATTAGATTACTCACAAAAAGATTCAAGCCTATAATTATCAGAGGTGTGCAAAATTTTGTAAGGATTTTAAAAGGTTTGGAAAAGACTCACTTCTTGACACCAATGCAATATTGTTAAGTACTGACAAGGAACAACCATGGTAAGCTCATATTCATTCATCCAAACCCTGCCTAGACATTAGTTTAGGAAACCTTCTCTGATTCCTCTCACATAAGTCTGTTTCTATATCCTATGCTTGCTTTAAAATTTGTACATCTGTCACTACAATAATTATGCTGAAGTTTTATGGAAGGAGCTAAGTCTTGAAGCTAAACAAACCTAAAATGAAATCCCAATTTTTGCTACTTTAATGATTGTCTGATCTTGGAAAGCTACTCAACCCAAGCCTTAACTTCCTTATTTGTAAATGATTTGATTTTCTACCTCATAGGGTTACTGTAATCAACAAAAATAATGTAAAAGCCTTAGAACAGTGTCTCAAATATAAATAGCACACACACACAAAAACTAGGCAACCAAAAAACAAAACCTCAAGCAAAAAACAAAACAAACAAAAACATAGGCAACTATTCATTAACTTTATGTTTACATTTTAGTTTCTCTATTAATCTACTAGAGGCCCGATGCACGAAATTCGTGCAAGAGTAGGCCTTCCTTCCCCCAGCTGCTGGCACCGGCTTCCCTCTGGCACCTGGGACCTGGGCTTCCCTTGTAGCCCTGGCTTCGTCTGGAAGGTCATCTGGAAGGATGTCAGGCCTAATTAGCATATTATGCTTTTAATATTACAGTAGAGGCGGTGGTGGTAGGGGGGAATCCCCTCAGCCCAGCCTGCACCCTGTCCAATCCGGGACCCCTTGGGGGATGTCCGACTGCTGGTTTAGGCCCGATCCCTAGGATCGGGATCCGGCAGTCGGACATCCCTCTCACAATCCGGGATCACTGGCTCTTAACTGCTCACCTGCCTGCGGGCCTGGTCGCCCCATGCAGCCTGCTGCTTAGTCGTTTGATCGCCTCTCACTAACCTCCCTGCTAGCCTGGTCGCCCCCAACTGCCCCCCCGCGGATCTGGTTGCCCCACGCAGCCTGCTGTTTGGTCGTTTGGTCGCCCCTCACTAACCCCCCTGCCGGCCTAGTTGCCCCCAACTGCCCCCCCTGCGGGCCTGGTTGCCCCATGCAGCCTGCTGCTCAGTCGTTTGGTTGCCCTTCACTAACCCCCCTGCGGGCCTGGCTGTTCCACACAGCCTGCTGTTCAATTCTTTGGTCGCCCCTCACTAACCCCCCTGCTGGCCTGGTTGCCCCACACAGCCTGCTGCTCAGTCGTTTGGTTGCTCCTCACTAACCCCCCTGCCAGCCTAGTCGCCCCACGCAGCCTGTTTGGTTGTCCGTTCAGTTGCGATGGTCGCTTAGGCTTTTATTATTATAGATATAAGCAGAAATCATGTCTTTTTAAAACCTCTGACCACCTGATTAGGTCCTGATTTTCGGCACAAAAAAGAACCCGCCAAACCAAAACAAAACTGGCTACTTGCACAGTGCTCATCACATTTCAGTGTTGACAAAATATGATCAATTAGTTATAACATCATAACTATAACTGGATTATACCTAAACATGGATAAAGACACAATGGATCTATGGCATACAATATTCTGATCACGGGAAAAGTAAAACCGTGTTTCTGACGTAAGAATAAGGCCACCCACAACCACAAGAAGGTGTTCTCTCTTATCTGTGCCTGTCAGACTACGTTATAAAGATTTCTGAGCACTGATTTTTTAGAGGATTAAGAGCAAAATGGAGCTTTTGGAAAAAAGAGCAGCCAGGAAGGTAAGTACCAGCCAAAATTGTCATAAGAAAAATTGATTAAAACACTTCAGTATCTCTTTACTTCCCTAGGGGAAAAACCCAAACTTCTCATACAGCATATTGGGCCTAACTTGTCACTTTCTTTTTTCAAAATTTAATTTATTGAGTTTTTACAGAGAGAGAGGAAAGGGGAGGGAGAAAAAGAGAGAGAAAGGGTAGTTGAGGGAGGAAGGGAGAGAGGAACATTGATTTGTTGTTCCACTTTCCTATGCATTCATTGGTTGATTCTTGTAGTGCCCTGATGGGGGGTTGAACTTTCAACCTTGGCATAGAACAGTGATGGTGAACCTATGACACGCGTGTCAGAGGTGACACGAGAACTCATTTTTTTGGTTGATTTTTCTTTGTTAAATGGCATTTAAATATATAAAATAAATATCAAAAATATAAATCTTTGTTTTACTATGGTTGCAAACATCAAAAAATTTCTATATGTGCCATGGCACCAGAGGTAAGTTAGGGTTTTTCAAAATGCTGACACGCCGAGCTCAAAAGGTTTGCCATCAATGGCATAGAAGGATGACACTCTAACCAACTGAGCTACCCAGCGAGGGCTCTGTCACTTTTAAAAAATCTTATCTCTGCCTCTGTTTTCATAAGCAATCTATGTATCAAATTACTTGCATTTTCCCCAAACAATTCATATTCCTCTGTGATGTCCATGAAGTTCAGTCTACAAGTCCTCCCACTACTTCTTTGCTTGACTAATTTATGCTTAACTGTCTCAGATGTAGTTCAGAAGTCACTTTTAAGCAGTTTTCATTAACCCTCATATTTTACTCTTTTTTTTAAATATACTTTTTATGATTTCAGAGAGGAAGGGAGAGGAAGTGAGTGATAAAAACATCAATGATGAGAGAGAATCATTATCAGCTGTCTCCTGCACACCCCCACTGGGGATCCAGCCCACAACTTGGACATGTGCACTGACCAGCAATCAAACCATGACCTCCTGGTCATAGGTTGACACCAACCACTGAGCACACTGACTAGGTAATGCTCACATTTCTCAAGAGTTGGGTATCTGTTTTAAGGATGCCCTACATATGCTTCTGTATAATGCAATTATTTAATTACTTGACTCTATCCAGCTTTAGACTGGAATTAAAGCAGAAATTAAAAAAATCTTCGTAACTTTAGCTCTGGCAAGCAACATGGTACACAGTTGGCATACTTATAAAAATGTCTGAAGAGATGTCATAAGCTTTCTGCCATGTTGGACAAGAGAATACAAAGCCACCCTCCTGGCTGGGTAGCAAAGTTGGTTAGAAGAGCATCGTCCCAATATACCAAGCTTTGGGGTCTGATCCCTGGTCAGAGCACATACAAGGATCAACCAACGAATACATGACTAAGTGGAACAACAGATCAATGTTTTTCCCTCTCTCTCTACCCCCCTAAAAATAAATAAAATCTATACATATAAAAGCCTAAGCAACCAAAAGACTGAATGACCAGTCACTATGACACACATACACCATCGGGGGCAGACGCTTAACGCACAAGCTGCCTGCTGGTGGTCAGCGTGCTCCTACAGCCAACCTCCCATGGCCAGCCAACCTCCCACGGTCCCTCCCTGTGGCTGGCTGGCCCCAATTGCCAGCCAGGCCGAGGGACCCCACCTATGCATGAATTCGTGCATCGAGCCTCTAGTCCAGGGGTGGGCAACCCCTGGCACGCGTGCCAAACATGGCACGCCAGTAACTTTTGCTGGCACGCAAAACCCTCTCTTATAATCTTCCACTTACAATTTTTTTCTTCATATTGACTTTTTATTTTTCACATAAATTCAGTGTAGGTGCATCTTAGATAAGTAAATAATTTTACATAACAAGTTATCTTAAAGACCATAGACATGGATTAACGAGAGAGGGGAAGAGCAATTTCTATGCCTCTGCCTTAACTCTCCCTGCCTTCCTAGATCTGACTAGTGTTTTGGTTTCATCCACATATGCTTGTGAATCTTTGCTCTCAGTGATGAATTTTTTGTCTCATAATAGGAGTAGCCTGACAGATGAAAGTAGTAGCTCATGCATATCTCTGAAGGTCACGAAATATAAACTTGATGTAAATAAAATCTCGGTCATCAGTGATGCAGCAGCAAAAGTGCCACTGATAACATCAAACGGAGTCATAAAGTTTTCTGTCGGACTATCAGTGTACATGTATACATTAAAAAATAAATGTATTTTTCATCATCATATACTGTGTTTTTGTTGCTCAAATGAATTTTATTATTTCTTCAAGGTTCTTCACATATGTACACCTTAAGAGATATCAAATAGGTGTAACATGTTCTCAAAAAATTAGGGTTGGCATGCAGAAGAATTTTGAGTCAGAGATTTTGCTGGTTTTGGCATGCACTCACAAAAAGGTTGCCCACCCCTGCTCTAGTCCTATATAATAAAAGGCTAATATGTAAATCGACTGAATGGCGGAACGACCAGTTGCTATGATGTGCACTAACCACGAGGGGGCAGACGCTCAACGTAGGAGCTGTCCCCTGGTGGTCAGTGCGCTCGAACAGGGTGAGCGCTGCTCAGCCAGAAGCTGGGCTCATGGCTGGTAAGCACAGCTGTAGTGGCGGGAGCCTCTTCCTCCTCCACAGCAGTCAGACATCTCCCAAGGGCTCCCAGACTGCGTAAGGGCGCAGGCCAGGCACCAGGCCTCTAGTAATAAATAAAAATAATAAAAGAGAATACATGGCCTTGGCGGCTCTCTATGGAGCATGCCTGCACCATTTCCCACTCCCATACTCCAGGTGTGTTTTCCTTGCTTCTCTTTTTCTCCTAACCTCTAAGTGCCCTTCTTTTGCCTCTGTAACTTGTTTCCTGAGCCCATTTTTTTCTACAGCTCACTTCTACTTCTGTGGCTTTCTAAATAAACTTTTCCTTATTTAAAAATAAAAAAAGAATATATGGCGTCAGGAAAATAAAAACGCATTCTTTCATATAAATGTGAAGAACTCCTACTTTACGGAATTGGATGATATAAAATTTATACTTATATAAGAGACAGAAACTTTAAACATATAAGAAATCATCACATAGCCTATTTTATAAACAGGTAATATGCAAATTGACCATCACTCCAACACACAAGATGGCCGCCCCCATGTGGACACAAGATGGCCATCAGGGGAGGGCAGTTGGGGGTGATCAGACCTGCAGGGGAGGGCAGTTGGGAGGGACAAGGCCTGAAAGGGAGGGCAGTGGGGGGGGGGAATCAGGCCTGCAGGGGAGGGCAGTTGTGCGGGACCAGCCTGCAGGGGAGGGCAGTTGGGGGTGACCAGGCTGGCAGGCAGAAGCGGTTAGGGGCAATCAGGCTGGCAGGCAGGCGAGCGGTTGGGAGCCAGCAGTCCTGGATTGTGAGAGGGATGTCCGACTGCCCGTTTAGGCCAATTCCACCGGGATCGGGCCTAAACGGGCAGTCGGACATCCCTCGAGGGGTCCCAGATTGGAGGAGGTGCAGGCCGGGCTGAGGGACACACACTTCTCCCTTGTGCATGAATTTCGTGCACTGGGCCTCTAGTATATACATAAAAGCTGTGAATTTTGGCTTCTGTTACCATCCTTTCTTTCATTTTAATTACAAATTTCTCTGCCAATTAGATGAAAAGAGAAAAAAGAATATAAAAATATACCTTCATGTAGTGTTTAAAGATGTCTGCAGCTGCATGCATGTCAACAATATCATAAATGATAAGTTTGCTGAAGGCAGCAAGTAGATTCCTTCTTTTATGTAAGGCCTCAATTTTATTTGCTTCATCTTCTTCATCACCCTCTAACCACAGAAAATAAATTATGAACTTTATCCAAGATAAAACCATGTAGAAACTCTATATAATAAAAAACCAGCTTATACCTTTACAAAAAGGTATAATTCAGTTTTAGATGGGATGAAATAATGTTATACTAATTATTTGAGGGTGCTATATTTAGTTAGATGATTATCAAATATTTGCTAGGTACTAAGGTTCCTATTTTCTAGGAGACTCAGAGCAAAGACTAAAATAAGAAAACCACATGTAAAAAGATGATTTTTTCTGATATTTTCATCATAATACTATTGTCTGTTTATTTTAAAGTGTGGTCTTATTTCAATATTACTCATTTGCTAATATATTTCCACAGAAAAGAAATTTTTAAGTCGCAGGAAAAAGGTTTTCCTTTAGAAAAATACATGGGGGAATAATGGCAATATATGGGGGAGTTAATTTTCAATGCTTGTCCTAAACATGGTCTACAGTATCAGCTGAGAAATAAAATTTATTTTGCAAACCATATTAAACACATATACATTTTTAAAAAAGCCCTATCAAATGCTTTTAAAACAAGTAGTATTTCTTTCTTATTTATTTGTTTATTTATTTATTTACTCAGGACCTATTGACTAGTCTATTTCTAATCCTAGGGAAACTTTCTCTACAAGGCTGAGATGATAACATTTACCACATTTTTTTTGTTTCAGGCTCTGTACTGATCCTCTCATATCTTAACCTGCCTTTATTTGGAGACAATGTTCGTTCTTCCCATCTTTAGATTCATAAATAAAACAAAAAACCCCCAAAATAACCCCCCAAAATTCTCTTCAATTTCTTTCTCTTTCTACTAATTGGTCCAGCTGTGAAGCATCAATGCTTGGAGAAGTTGGAAATCTTTTTGCTTAAAACAAGTAGCAGGTAAATTTTATCTTTTGAGATTAATGTGGACTCTAAATAAAGACACTGTTTCATAGTCTAGTATATTCTAAAATGTTTTGTTAAATAAAGAACATTCTAATAGCACCAAAATAGATCTGTGGATCAGATGTGCCATAGATCTTATTTTAGAGAACTTAAATTATCTTTTTCACAAATAACCTATATAATTTATTTACGATTGTTTACATTCCGTCTAATTTTGCTAATTATCATTCTGCAGGCTCAGCACAGTTTTGACTGGTGAGGTTTGATAAGTCTTTCAACACTTAATATATTTTGTTAACTTAAGTACTATATGAGAAAGGAACTCTGATGTTTTCCCCTTCAGAAAAACCGTGAAACAAAATCTATCCCACATATACATTTTGCATGTGTGAAGTGAAAATGTATAGAATTATTCATTAGAGCAAAGGAAGGAGACTTCACTGTGCATTTTTATTAATTTTGGTTTCTGAATTACACAAATGTATTATTTTTTTAAAAAAGGAGAAATTCTAATATTTTAAAAATTTGAATATTTTTCTCATATCTTTTGGGGTTGGTAAAACAAGATCAATAGTGACAAGATGATAGCTACAAATACCCATGCTCTGGTTTTCCTCATCTTGGTCAATGAAAACGTGATCCATCACAAAACTGAGGAGTTCAGACTGAAGTCCAGTATCTGGATTAAACACCAAAGGCTGAAGGCCTTCTCTGCCACCTGTCATTAATTGGTGGCTAAAAATCATCAAAAGATCACAGAGTAACATGAAAGCCTGGAATGCAAAGGAAATTCATTAGTAAAATATTGCTACAATGACAAATCAATGTTAATAAAAATATACTAAATTAAGTATAGTTCAATGATAGTATCATAATAGAAACTTTGGGTATTTAAATTCCAACTACTTAGTTTTAAGTTTCTAAACTTAATAAAACTAAACACTAGTCATATTTAAGATTCCTCCTTCCCCAAATATAATCTATTTCTTTTATTTGACTTTATTAACTCAAATACTGATTAAGAGATTTTTGACTTGACTGTAAAGATACAATGAGTTGAACTCAACTCTGGAAATACAAAATTGATACAATAAATTATGACAGTGGTTAGAAATCAATCATACACTGCTTACTCAAATAATAAGTATAAATCTTAAGACCAAGTATAATTTCATAAATTACAATGCAGTACTATAAACCTATAAGCTACTATTTTGGATTCTTTTTTCCCCCCTCACATTTTTTAATTAAAAAAAATTTTTTTAATGTTGGCATTATTGCAGGAGTCCCCTACATCCTTGCCTACCTCCACCCTCCCCTGCCTACCCTTTCCTGAACTTTACCAAATTACTGTCCATGTCCACGGAGTATGCATACATGTTCTTTTAAAAATCTAATGTAGCCCTGGTGGTATTGCTAAGTGGTTAGAGCATCAGCTTGTGCACAGAAGGGTCATGGGTTTGATTCCCCGGACAAAGGCACATACCTTGGTTGTGGGTTTTGCCTTCCCCTTCACTCCCTCCCCTGCAACCCCGCATTGGGATGCATGCCAGAGGCAACCAGTTGATGTGTCTCTCTCACATTGATGTTTCTCTTCCTCTCTCTATCTCTCTTCCCCCTCCCTCCCTTCCTTTTACTCTCTGAAAAGCAATGGAAAAAATATCCTCAGGTGAGGATTTAAAAAACAAAATCTAATGTAAAAAAAATCTCTAACATTACATAAAATGAAATTCAAGACCATTTACATAAAAACCAGTATCTAAAGTTTCCCAACAAATTTAATCATTTAAGGCAGGGGTGGGAACATCCAGCCTGCAGGCCATACAAGGCCCAGGAAGTCATTTGGTCTGGTCTTGGCAAGGTATTAGGGGTGAGTTAATTAAATGTTTTACCAAATATTACAGGCTAATTTTAAGTTGATAATTTTGTATGGCCAATGAATGATGTTATAAATATCCAAATGGCCCTTGGCAGAAAAAAAGGTTCTCCAACACTGATTTAAGAGAACTTTCAATGCATTTCCCCAAGGAGAAATTATTATAATTATGTTGCCAAATTTGTCCTATTTAATGGGTGGTATGAAATAAAACTGTCATTAGTTTATTGTAATTGAAAGGTTTTGTTGGTAACTGAGGGCTCTGATATTTCAAAACAATCTATTCACCGCCCTCCAAAATTCATTTCTATGGGAAAATACAACTTTGGCATGTATTTGGTGATTGCCATATACTTTGCTATAAAACCTCCAGCAAGACTCATGGCAATTCATGCTCTGACTACACAACCATGAAATATATAAGCCTATTTAGAAAAAGCCACTTGAAAAGAGGAGCATAAAAAGAATCCAGACCTTTTGTTTTTTAGCCAAGGCCAGTTTTTAGTTTCGGATATCACCAAATAATGATGACACAAAAAACACTGAATTTTTTGGTTTAAATGTCCAGAGCTAGGTAATTTTATTTATTTATTTATTTTTAAAAAATATTTTATTGATTTTTTACAGAGAGGAAAGGAGAGAGATAGAGAGTTAGAAACATCAATGAGAGAGAAACATCGACCAGCTGCCTCCTGCACATCTCCTACTGGGGATGTGCCCGCAACCAAGGTACATGCCCTTGACCGGAATCGAACCTGGGACCCCTCAGTCCGCAGGCCGACGCTCTATCCACTGAGCCAAACCGGTTTCGGCAGAGCTAGGTAATTTTAGACAGCACTGGTGGCAATCAGAGATTTCGAGAACAAGGTTTAGGGTAGATCATCTCTGTTCCTATTTTTTTTTTTAATATATTTTATTGATTTTTTACAGAGAGGAAGGAACAGGGATAGAGAGTTAGAAACATCGATGAGAGAGAAACATCGATCAGCTGCCTCCTGCACGCCCCCTACTGGGGATGTGCCTGCAACCAAGGTACATGCCCTTGACCGGAATCGAACCTGGGACCCCTCAGTCCGCAGGCCGACGCTCTATCCACTGAGCCAAACCGGTGCTGGCTCTGTTCCTATTTTAAGTTAGATGCTGATAACTCAATAAAGAAAACCCATGATAACCTATTTGTAAAAGATATAGCAAAATATAAGTACTACTGTACACTTTAACTAGACTAATTAGACTTTATTTCTAGCCCAACATCATAATAAAAACAGCATGGAAAATGTACGTTCTGTTTCATATTAAAGTACTTCGTAATAGAAAAACAGTAAGATAGCTGACAAAATCACTCCATGGAAATGGTATTGTCTTGGGCTCTACTTTGACCCTCTTTGGACTGCACCCCTTCCCAATAATGAGTAGTATGTTGTACCAATTGTATATGCCTACTTGCATCTCTACTTCTATACCACCTTCCAGGTACAAGGACTCAGGCATTTCTTTTTTTAAATCCTCACCCGAGGATATTTTTCCATTGATTTTTATTTATTTATTTATTTTTAAAAATATATTTTATTGATTTTTTACAGAGAGGGAGGGAGAGGGATAGAGAGTTAGAAGCATCAATGAGAGAGAAACATCAATCAGCTGCCTCCTGCACACCGCCTACTGGGGATGTGCCCGCAACCAAGGTACATGCCCTTGACCAGAATCGAACCTGGGACCTTTCAGTCCGCAGGCCGACGCTCCATCCACTGAGCCAAACTAGTCAGGGCTCCATTGATTTTTAGAGAGAGTAGAAGAGAGAGGAAAAGACAGAGAGAAATATTGATGTGAGAGAAACACATCAATTGGTTGCTTCCTGCATGCGCCCCAGCCAGGGTCCGGGCCAGGGAGGAGCCTGCAACTGAGGTACCTGCTCTTGACCAGGATCATTCAGTCCACAGGCCGATGCTCTATCCACTGAGCCAAACCGGCTAGGGTGACTCGGATTCATTGCCTTAACAAATCTGATTCTGCTACCAGAGGCTGGACAGGATTCTTCTGCAGGCTCACTGCATCCCCAAAGCACATACTCCTAGGTCCCAGGGTGGTCAAGGAGCAGCTGTTTGAGGGGGTGATGCTGATAAAGTTTGGACATGTGAGCTAAGTGTTCACATGCATGTATGAGAAGTTCTGCCTAGTGTGGGAAAGAGCTGAAGGTGAGATGAGAAAAGCGAGGCTCATAGGCCAGCCCTCCATGTTCTGGCATAGAATTCTTAGGAGTCAATAATTCTAATTTGCACCCAGCCTTCTAGGTCAGCATACTTGTCAAGGTAAAAAAGACATGTAACAGGTTTGTTAGATTGCTTTGTAACTTAAATATTTAGACATCATAATCTTGTTCTAGGTCTCATTAATGTTAGGGAAAAACAAGCATGCTAAGAAGTACAATAAAAAATTACATCTTCTTACATGTTCTGTAATGCATTTGAGTTACTTTTATTGGGAGCTTTTAATAATTTCTTACCTGTTCCTTTACTGGAGTATTAACATTAGATAGGCACTGTTGGCAAACAGCCAAAAAGGATTTCACGGTTTTCCTCAATACCAACAAATCCTCCTGTAAGACACATTCAAATTTGCAAGCATGAATTACAGTATCCTAGAAAACTGACCCAAAATAAATAATACATGGCAAAGAGCCAAATTGGCTCAATGTCAAAGAAAGTCATAAAACCAAATTTCTTGTTGGGAACCAAACCATATAGTTATTTCCTAGTTCAGCCGTCGCCAACCGGTGAGCTGCGGACCACTGGTGGCCCATGAGGTCCGAAAGGTTGGCAAACGCTGTCCTAGTTATCCTAGTAAAAAGGGCCAACAAAACTGATAAACCCAAACACTAAGTTCTATTTACCTATACAATGCTCAGTATGATTTTCTTCAACAAATTTTCCTTTATAAATATGGGCTTAGGCTATTAAAATTGTAGGTCATTCCCATAAACATACTAACTGTAAGGCGAGGGAGCACAGCAGCACACTGAAAAAATCAATTAAGCAACAAATGTGTACTGAGTTTCTCTTATATTCTCATCATTCTGCAAAATGTTAAGGGAAGACAGATAACTTTAAGACAGTGCCCAGGTGCTCAGAGTTAACATCCTAGCAGGAAGTCAGACCAATTAGAGAGTAAGTGTTAAAATTTTTTTTTTATTAACTCTATAGTAGAGAGAGATGAGTTAGAAGGACTTTCACAGGAGGATGGGCTTTAATCTAAGGTTGGGTGGGTGAACAAGATTTAATCAGATGGCCATGTAATATTTGTTAGCAAACATTTGAAAAACATAAAAGGAAATTTAAATTTATCAAGTACCTATAATGTGTCAGACTGGATTGAGGGTTCACTGCTACATAATTTATCGATTAGAAGTAGTAGTCATTATTAGCAAGGGTTTGAAACCAGGACTGTCTCAGATCAGAGCTCATATTCTTCTCACTTAGTAATGAGCAAAATGCATGCAGATAATTCAGATAATTTCCACAAAATCACTTCATGGAAATGGTAATGCCCTGGGCTCTACTTTGATCCTCTTTGGACTGCACCTCTTCCCATGAATGAGGAGTCTGTTGGACCAATGGCATATGCCCACTGTGTCGATATTTAAAATGGTAATGAAGATAATTAAATGAGAAAGACAGATATAGGAATTACTTTTTAAAAAGTACTCTATTAAACTAAAATTCTTTTAGCCTTTTGTACCAATGACAGTACTCAATGCTTTGTTGGACCTATACATCCTAAATAATGATACTTATATACATGTTCCCTTTTGCTAACATGAGTGCAGTATTTGGAAGAAGGAGTAAGCTCACCTTGTGCAGAGTACTAAAAAAACTCACTGCCTTGCAAACCTTTAATGTTTCAATGTAGACGAACATACAATAATCAACTTCAACAGTACTTTACTTTCTTTAATTTTAAAGATAATACATTAGGGGAAATTTATAATGCACAAGGGAACAGGCAGCTGAATTAGAATATAAGGAGTGCTATGTTGGAAACCCAGAGTCAAACAAAAGTAGTCACTGAAGAGTTCCCAAAGAAGATAACATGCAAGCTGAATTTTGAACAATTACTAAAAATTATCTAGCTATAATAAAAGATGTTCCAGAGGGTACAGGATGTTCAGGAGCCTGGAGGTGCTTTTGAGAGACTGTTAATTTATTGTAGCCGGGGCTTAAATAGGCAGTTGAGTGGCAAGAGAGAAAGCCAAAGAGAAAAACAGGATCCATTTCCATTTAAATGAAAGACCATTAAAAATGCCATGTTAAATAATTTGGATATTAGTCTCATGGCAATGAAGAGCTACTGAAGGATTTTTATCATGAGTGCTAAAATTTTGTGTAAAAAAATCGTATTATAACCAGAATAGGAGAATGATGTGGAAGACAGAGACTAGTTAATAGTAGATACAATCTTCTGTTGTGGGCTTATTACATACCAAGTACTGGGCCATAAATTTAAACCTCACAATCACTCTATGAATTAAGTGGTAATACTACTATTTTGCAGATGAGAAAACTGAAGTTAATAAAACTGAAGTTAAATCCAAACTATTTTAAGTGATAGAGTAAGAGTCGAAACCTAGGATTACTCTGACTCTAAAGTTCATGTTCTTAATCATTATTCTGTATTTCCTTACATATTAACAAAAGCCATAAGAGTAATCTAGATTGAAGGCCTAGAAATAAAATGTTGGCAGTAAAGATGTGAATAGCGTAGATGAAAAAAGGTGTTCTATGGAAAGTAACCTCACAGGATGAACCAAAAAATGCCTAACTGGGCAGGTCATGGTGGGTAGGCATGCCCTCGGCATATAATTTCTTTAGTAAAGGTTAATCTTTGCTTCAAGCAAGCCCTGTCCATTGTTTCTGTGCATCTAGGTCAGTGCAGCAAACTGCGGCTTGCGAGCCACATGCGGCTCTTTGGCTCCTTGAGTGTGGTTTTTCCACAAAATACCGACGTCTGCACACGGGCCACAAAGTTTCAATCGCACTGTACGTGCACGCCCGCACGTGGTATTTTGTGGAAGAGCCACACTCAAGGGGCCAAAGAGCCGCATGTGGCTTGCGAGCCGCAGTTTGTCGACCACGGGTTTAGGTTAACATACCTTTGAAATGCCTCTCTTCAGACCTCTCCTTCTAATATGATCACACTTTCAGATCCCTCTTAAAGTGTGACTGAGATAGAGTATGTGGCGATATGACCATAACCCAATAAGGGCTGCAAGAACTATCACGGAGATAGTAAGACCTTAGGTTCCTTCCTTAATTTCAAATGCATAAAAGAAATAGCAAAACTTTTATTCTTTAAAGCACTTGAGATCTTCCTTTCCAGCAACTGTTGTCAGTTTTGGCTCAAATAAACTCCTATAAAAATTCTCTACGCCCTAGCCCGTTTGGCTCAGTGGATAGAGCATCGGCCTGCAGACTGAAGGGTCCCAAGTTTGATTCCAGTCAAGGGCACATGCCTGTGTTGCAGGCTCAATCCCCAGTGTGGAGTGTGCAGGAAGCAGCCAATCAATGATTCTCCTTTATCACTGATGTTTCTATCTCTGTCCCTCTCCCTTCCCCTCCGAAATCAATATAACAAAATAAATTCTCTACAAGTTTAGATGTTTCTTATGTCAACATGTTAGTAAACTTTAATTTGTTTTTCTCCTGCCAAACTGTCTCATGTCAATTTGATTAGACCAGTCAGAAGAATCTTGAAGGGTAGAGGATGGTCTTTCCACCTCAACACTACTAACTGGCTATGTGGCCTTAAAGAAATTACTTTGTATCTCAGACTTACAGATTTTTTAAATCTATATACAAGAAGGTTGACATATGTATAATATGAGCTTGTATGATATTCTGTGATTCTGCTGAATTAACTCCTAGGTCAGTGATGGCGAACCTTTTGAGCTCGGCGTGTCAGCATTTTGAAAAACCCTAACTTAACTCTGGTGCCGTGTCACATATTTGCAACCATAGTAAAAGAAAGACATATTTTTCATATTTATTTTATATATTTAAATGCCATTTAACAAAGAAAAATCAACCCAAAAAATGAGTTCGCGTGTCACCTCTGACATGTGTGTCATAGGTTCGCCATCACTGTCCTAGGTAATCAAATGAGACAAATTAAGTGCTAACTGGTAAACCTCCTAGTATTCAAAGGATGAATGTTCACTGTTCCATTGCTAGTACCTAGAATAGTGCTTGGTACATGGCAGGTGTTTGTATTTACTGAATGATATGTAAGTACACAGATGATACCACAACCCTAGGAACAAATATGTAATGTGTTCATCTTATCAAAAAATAAATAGAGCTTAAAAATGATGCTAGGAGGTATTAATGTTCCTTTATTCTCTTAAAATTCCTGGTTAATGTGCAAAGAAGCAGCCTAGGGAATCACCTATCTTTGGAGTTAGAGGCAAAAGATTCCTTTAAAAGTCAATCATAAAACAAATATGAATTATGGAAAATGCTAAGGTAACAGTTGAATTTGAGAGATGATTACTTGCCAGTTCACCTGAAGAGTTGTAAATTTAATATCATAACTAAGTAAGCAGTCTACTGATGACTAATCAGTAGTAATATTTTAAGAAGAAACTGAAAATTGGAAGCAACCAAGGAAACAGAAGCTAGAGGCCTTCTTTAGCAGTAAAGTTTGGATACAACCTAAATATTATTTGAGTCCTCCAGAAAGTTAATGTATATAATTAGATTCTGTGGATAAAAAAGGGTTCTCCAATAAATCTGACTGCAACTAACCTCACAAGGTGATTTGATCATAAATTCCTAACTGCAGATCTTGGTAGGTATAAAAAAGCCCTGTGGGGTTGTGGGGTTTGTTCTTGTGTACCTAGGCTAACACACCTTTGCAATGCCAGAGTAACCCTCTTTTCAGATCTCCAAAGTATAACCATCTTCAAGGCAGCACATAATCTTGTCAACCATCCTATAACCCAATCATACAGATTCCACCCCCTTACCCCCAGTTTTGCTTTATCCCACACCTTTATGTAGTCTTTCTTAAATTCCCACCTTGATTCCAAATGTATAAACAGAACTGCAAAGCCGTAGTCCCCAGGTGCATTTAAAATAGTGTTTCCTGATGTGTCCTTGGTTTGGTTCAAATACACTCATAACAATTCTCTACAGGGCCCTAGCTGGTTTGGTTCAGTGGATAGAGCACTGGCCTTCGGACTGAAGGGTCCCAGGTTTGATTTCAGTCAAGGGTACATGCCCGGGTTGCGGGCTCAATCCCCACTAGGGGGCATGCAGGAGGCAGCCGATTAATGATTCTCATCACTGATGTTTCTATCTCTCTCCCCGTCTCCCTTCCTCTCTGAAATTAATAAAAATATATTTTTAAAAATTCACTACAGGTTTGGACCTTCTTACAACAACAACTGCACTGAGAGAAACACAAATACCAATAGGTTTAGGTAAATGTGCAGATACTGTATATTTAACAGAGTTAGCTAATCTCATAGAGTAAATCCCTTTGAACAGGTGGGAATTTATGTTTCCTGTGGACTTTGGAACACTGCTTTTATTCACTCCATGA